CACGGGGTGATGCACCACTCTACGAGAGATCCGAACAGATAATTTGTCTCATGACGAAACATCGAAAGCACTATTGAAATAACACTGCGGGGAAAGACACATCATCACCAAAACGTAATGAATCACTTTATTTAGGAAAGCAGAGTTGGATATTTACAATGAAGCTGCGTGAGTTAAGATACACTGATCAGGGTCTCGAAGGATTGGCAAATAACCCCACAATCTGTGCGGTGTGGACAGGTCTTCATCCAGCAGTGAATTGACCAATGGTTGTTCATGTACACCTGTGACCAAAGTTGATATCGCAGCGAATGTCAGGTTGGCAGCTGTGCTGTGTGTGTGTGCGCTCAGAACGTACAGCCGCTCCCGGCGTACGTAGAGTAAGACCCCTCCAACAATGATCACCAATGCTCCCAGCACACCTCCCACCACACCTCCCACCACAGGGCCAACGATGCTTCCCGAGCCTGATAGGGAAGAGAAAGGGGAGACGAGCGGCATTAGTGATGTGTCGAGACCGAAAAGACTCGAGATATAAAAAAAAAAAATTGGGGTTAGATTGCATAAATATGAATGTCGTTTAACCCGAAACAGCCAATTAGTAAGCTTTGTCACGTCAACAAAACGTGCCAATCAATTACTAGATCAGCAGTAAGCAGTTGTGTATGGAGAAAAAACCCACAACATTTACAATTCGAGTACAACGTTTCGCGACGGCCAGATTCGTCGAACCTAACTAATTGGCTGTGTCGGGTGGTGGCGGGTTTAACGACATTCATATTTACGCAATCTAACTCAGAAAAACACCCTTATGAACAATATTGGTAGCGAAAGTACTACTATTATTCCTGACCCCCCTAGCGTGTGGTGCCACCACCTCGGGTAACCCACTCATCGTCATAAACCCGAACCCTGCTCCTGACTCACCCACCTACTCTACCTGGTCCTGACTCACCCACCTACTTACCTGGTCCTGACTCACCCACCTACTCTACCTGGTCCTGACTCACCCACCTACTCTACCTGGTCCTGACTCACCCACCTACTTACCTGGTCCTGACTCACCCACCTACTCTACCTGGCCCTGGCTCACCCACCTACTCTACCTGGTCCTGACTCACCCACCTACTCTACCTGGTCCTGACTCACCCACCTACTCTACCTGGCCCTGACTCACCCACCTACTCTACCTGGTCCTGACTCACCCACCTACTCTACCAGGCCCTGACTCACCCACCTACTCTACCTGGTCCTGACTCACCCACCTACTCTACCAAGTCCTGACTCACCCACCTACTTACCTGGTCCTGACTCACTCACCTACTTACCTTTTCCTGACTCACCCACCTACTTACCTGGCCCTGACTACCTACCTACCTACCTGGTCCTGACTCACCCAACTACTCTACCTGGTCCTGACTCACCCACCTACCCTCTTCTCTCCCCCACCAGCCCCTTCACTGGAACGAATTTACCCCTCAACATTAAGCAGTCATCTTTGCTCATTCACTTCCGCTTAATTTTCTACATTTGTCAGCACCCACTTGTATATGGCCTCACGTAACCATTTTCGTGGCCCACGCAGTAAGTGACGCTCTGCTCTCTCAGACACTGGCCCTGCTGCTTACCCCTCATTGTCCAGCATCCCTGCCCACTGCTCAGTTTTCTCAATCTTTTTAAAATGCTTCGGAACACTGGCAACAGCCTTTCTGGAACCGGGACCGTGTCGGCCCAAGAAATAAATAACAGAGTTTCGATGAAATCATTTCATATAACAATGCACATTGTAAATGGTCAATATTTTACACGCACTTTTGTTGTGCGTACTGATGAGTGCAGTGCTCAATGAACCTGGTTGCCCGAGTTGAATTCCCGATTACAGTTCATGTCAGGGGTCACTGATGTCTGAACCGGCCCTGTCCTCTACCCCCGTTCACCAACGCGCATTGACCAGTGTCGTGAAACGTGGCTACGCAACTCCCACGTGTGGTGAAACATGGTCAAGACAGCGTTGGCAGGCCTTCAGCCATGAGCATATTAAGCTTGATCCAATGGCATTTGGTTTGCTGGAGACTGTACAATTGTGACTGGTTTGTAGTGAAGATGCAAGATGGTCTAAACTAAGTCCGAGTTTTCATAGCATCATTGACTTCACGTCTAGATTTCATACACTTACCACAAATTACCAGTGATATCTTACTGATCTCATCATGAAGCATAAACCATCACGCAAACTCAGGTCATTCTCACAGCAGCAGCTGCCTTTGGGTAGTCATCGAACAATGATGACCAACGCATCATTGCGGCATTTTCAGATGCCCTTGCGGCCGTCCTGAACGCTTCTACTTCTGATATTAGAAAGTTACTGGACCTATGCACTTGAAAATCGTCTAATTTGAAAACTAATTTCTTTGGAACAAATGTTTCTGTTTAGTTTGTTGTCCTTTCTCCGCACCTCCAATTACCACAGTTTGCTTTGTAGGGTGGAAAATAAGTTCAACATAATACTGAGCTGATTGGATATGCTCTTATGCTGAATGGCAATAATTGGGAATACTTACTTCCGATGACACTCAATAATGTCATGAGTGGTAGAGAGAAGCGTGTGTCCGTGAAGATGGCTACCCCTCCAGCGCGGACAGAGCGTACGTTTGGGAGGTACGTGTAGACACGAAAACTGATCCTGAATGGTGACAATGGGAAAGGTGGAAGAACAACACAAGAATGGCGTGGCAGGAGTTTAGACAACTAATGGGTGGGGAAAATATGCATCCATGGGTGGTGTATACAAGAGGTGCTTGAGAGGTCATACCTCCCCATATGCCTTTTATAAGGCTTGTCATTGCAATTGATAACTGGCACTTGTGCCAGGCTAGGTGCATTTTTAGCAGCAGAACAGCATGGCAGATTCTCTCATCGGAAGCTGTCAGATTGAGGAAAACTGCACCGGTTTAACCACTCCAATTTACATATGTGTTCTATATAGATCTGGTCAAGGCTCCTGCTCTTGCGACCACGTGATGTCACCATCCTTATGGGAACATCGCATAAACATTCAGCGGGGGTTTTAATTCGTTGAATAAGCTCACAGAAAAACTCACGCAGGCGAGGGACATACCTGTAGGCAGTGTTTTGCTTTAAGGGGCCATCGGAGAAGCTGCCGCTCGTTCTGCCGGTACCAATTTGGACACTGACGACGGAGTTGGGGTTGGAGCACTCGGAGGGGTAAGCACGATCGTCCACCTGGTACACGTTCGTGCTTCCACTCGCATATTCTGAGTACGTGCTCAGAGGCCACCTCTTCTCTGGACTCTCGCTGCTGGTACCTGTGTAATGGGACAGAGGGAATCAGTGGATTCCTTTTTGACATTATTAAAAGGTTGTACGCAAAGTTTCCAAAATGACTCCTCAATGTATACTTAATTGCACGTGAAATTTTGCACTTAGATTAAAAATGTGTATATACTACGTTTTCATAACTAACAATTTCAACTCGAAGATGGAGAATGACTCATAGAGGTGCAAGGAGGAACCACAGACAATATGGAAATGCAGCAGCATCCAGGAAGTCATCTGGTATCAATTTTCAGACCCAGGACACCACCCCATGTTAGCTCTACAGTCCTCTGCTTATTAAGGTTTAATCTGTCAATAAATGAGTGTTTACATCCAGGAGGAAACCCAAGAGTAGCCAGAAAACCTACGTAGGACAAGAACATTCCATACAGATGCCTTCTCCTGGCCAGCGAGGGTATGGTACCACGAGGTAATAGGTAGGCGTTTCACCACACGGAGTGATTCACCACCCTTGCCTCCACTGTTGTGGATTACAGGCATGCATAGCTACCAAGGCCTGGATAAAAAAAAAATCGTGGAAGATACCAGGTATTGATGCCGCTACTTCTCGTATATTAGCAAAGCACTCGAATGTATTATTCATTCCCCATGGTAAAAAGTTAACCTATCATTGAGTCGTGCATGAATGACGTGGACTGAGCCGTATTCATGGAATGTCCATTGCGTTACCCTGGACTGCTTGACGATGACCGTGTAGTACTTGAGGTCGCCGTTTGTGTTCTGGAACCAGCTGCAGCTGAAGGAGATGTTAGGCTGCTCGGTGTCACCTGGTTCTGCACCGTCGTGATGTACACCGTCTCCGAAACGGGTGGAGGAGCTACCCACATGAGCACGGCAGGTTTGGAAATGAGTACAAGTACACAGACTGTCGTAATTTAGAGCCATTAGTTAATCATCTACTGGATGAAGGCATGGACATTGCTTGACCATACTTTCCATGCTGGAGGAGCTAGCAACAGTTCAGTTACTAATATTTACCATAGCCAAAAATGCATGTTGGGAGGGTCGCACTATTCGTAGCACAACACCCTAAATACGGTGCCCACTTCTCCAACCTAACAAGTGAGGCTTTAACAAAAATCCCTTGTAACCGTTTTTGAACAGCCAGTCGTCAGAGCAAGTGCTCTCAATGAGCAGCCATTTAAAGGGTCGCACTGCTCACAATGGAGTTGGTAAGGCCACTCCCCGAACCAGCCACTTTTTTCCCTCCCCAGTGCTATACGTATGTAAGTGCACCGTACGTAGCCAATCATGCTAAATCGGAGGTGCAGAAGAAACACTTCAGCAGGTCGTAATTTAAGGTACAGGCGAGTAAAGCAAGGCCCAGAACTGAACTTAAGTTGTTGGGTGTACGATGACAACTTTGAACTGTTTAGAAAAATACCGCGTACAAAATGGTTGTTACTGGCAGGTCAGAAAGTTATGAAACGGTTAAGAAATTAAAATGACTGTTACAGGTTAGTTTGGGTGGATGGGTGCCTGGACCTGGACCCCCTGCTACCAGACCATTCCACCCGATTGTGTCCAAAATGCATTACAACATTTATGATGGAGAGACAGATGGATTTGCTCATACATTTGGTACAAAATACAACAATCACAACCACTCATGTTCCAAAAAAAAAGTATGAACTCACCGCTTACGTCTTTGCTTTTCCTTGTAGAGTTTTACTGAACAATTTTCCTGAATAGGTGGTGATATTGACCAAGTATTCAGTGTTCCGCTCCAGACGTCCAAGCATGGCAAATGTTAAATTTGTTCTTCCATTTCCCCGAGGCTCCGTAATTATTTCATTCAAAGAATACATGGTATAGACTTCGAGGCTATTGTTGAAGATGCCTACGGACTGCAATAGATCATTGCCGTTGATCACTTCCAGGTACAGCATGCTCCATACACCGTCGGGGAGAGACCAACTGCAGGAAATATTCTCCGTGGAATACGGAAAGCAAGAAAAGTCTCTGACAGATGCTGGATCTGGGGGTAAAAGGTTGGTGAATGGGGTAGTTTGGGGGGGGGGGGTAGGAGATGAAAGATTGCTGAAGATGAAACTTACTGCTGATATTACCAATGAACATTAATCAAACCCATTTGATTCATAACACAGTCGCAAAAACAATTGAGACATTGCAGGGGCTCAGTTATGAGCATGTGTGTGCATGTGAAACACAGTTGGCGCCTAAATTTGTCGACTACATTGGCAATGCGGCCGTGCCAACATTGGCCCCGATTCCCCTCAGTGCTCGTGTTTACTAGTCCACCTCTTCTCCAGGTCTTCTGGTTTCCCCCTCCATTTATAATCATATGTTTAGAGTATTTTGCTGCTATAAATGTCCACATGATGATAAGCCACTTCGTTTATCCATTATGATTGCCAGGTCGCTTTTGAAAAAAGGGCTACACAGCTCAGTGGGCCTTAAATGGTACAATTAAACTAGTTTATCGTTGTGCGTGTCGAGGTTACATCTCTGTATGATGATAGATAACCGGGCCTTTTCTCGTGTGGCCCCCTGGCTGTAGAGTTCACATCCCCTGGACGTTCACTATGCTGACTCCCTAGCTTTATTTAAATCGTGCCTTCATACGCACTTATTTTAAACAAAATTTTCTATTCCTTAAATCTTTTAGTTTGAGGTTAGATTTTATTGGGTTGAGCCTGCACGTGTGTTTGTTTTGTACAGCGCCTTCTGACCTCCAGGAGCAAGGTGCGTTAGCAGTGTAAATTAATATTAAAATAATTATTTCCAGGATCAAGGATTACGTTTGCCTACTTTAAATCAGCCCAAATCACATCCTTACGTGTTTGTGACTTACTTGTACCAAAAGAGAATACTGGCCTGTCAAAATGACCAGTGTGAATCGTGTATGTCTATTTTAAATCCAGGGGAAATGGCTGCATTACATGGTGGTGAAAGTTTTCAATATCAAATAATGTAATACAGTATATTACACACAATGTACTTGTGATATATAATAGCATACAAACTATTGTCTAAATTAATATAGTCCGATCAACAGACTGTATAGGTACTTACAAGTTCTGTCCATTATATATGCCCAATATGAGACAGACCCATCGGAAGCCTGCACAGACACGGAGTAGTTCATTCCAGGAACCAGGCCAGTAAATGTTGACGAGTTTGAGTAAATCGGGAATGTTGTAACCAAGTTTCCACTGTCAGTCTCTCTCAAGTAGGCCCAGTAGGAGAACGAGTCTGGGAGATAAGTCGTTCCTGAGACTGTCATGGTCGTGGTAGTCTTGTTGGTGATGGTTAAAACGATGTAACTTGACACTGAAATGGCCACATGCAAGCAATACATTTTTATGGCATGTTTTAGTTATTTTACAATGATTAAAGTGAAAAATGAGAAAGACCAATTGCAAAAATAACACAGCATTTTGTAAGCAGGGACGACACTAACCTTTGAGAATATAATCATCTTGTTAATAAATGTATTAATAGATAACATTTGCTGTCATCTTCCAGATCACATTTTACCAATGGCGAAATTTCTCAGTTAAAATGTAAACATTTTGTTAGAAATCACTTTGTTTTCAAAAATGTTCTTACAATTGATATGTTCTGTTCCAAATAAATTTCATGAACAATTAATATATTTTCCATCAGGGTCTAATCTGTTTGTTTCTTCAAGTTAGTTTTTATCACCTTTTTAACGTAACATTTATGTCGTCATAATTCAATGACTGAGCCATTTTTTCCATACACATATATGTCCTACATTGTTAGTAAATAGGTAGGTTAAAAAGAGGGCATTATTAGACACAATTCATGCCCAAAATGAAACTTCATGCATGATCGAAATTATAATGTCCTTGAACATGATGGGTCTATAATATAATTAACAATGAATATATATTCTTGGTTATTTCGGTAAAGTCACATAGATAGAATAAAAAAAAATGTAATCTACGTTACTTTACCGAAAGAACCAAGAATATGAATTCCTGCAGTCACGAAAGTTTAAAGTCTAAATGTAATGAATATATAACCAGGCAAAAACTCACAGGTCGTTCTGGTAATGATAGCGGATGGTTGGTAGTAGATGCCACTATAAGCCGTTACAGAAGCATCATAACTTCTACCAGGAACCAGATCAGTAAATTCTTTTGTTTTAAGTGTGGACACATTGAAGAGCTTCACTGCTGTTGGGTTGTAAGTTTCATTTAAATAGACCACGTAGTAGTCAACGTCTGAAGTTGGAGCCACCCATGAGACCATCATGGCTGTAGGGCTGGTGACGGTGATGGTGACATTGACTTGTGGAGGAACTGCAATGTAAAATAAACGATTGACACAGACGAATTGCAATAGATACTTGCGGCATTGACTTAAGCCACTAAAGTGGCATATAACACGATGAATATTATTTTAATATGCACATTTTCGTCAAATTATTGATTTGAAAAGTATGTAACTTAAAATGGAAATGTTAAAGCAGAAATTTAGGCAAACAATTGCCATGCAGGCATCCCTCGCATTGCACATTCCCTCCCCCCACTCCCAAAGCGCGAATTGGAGCTACGTAATTAACTTGTTAGGGACATACTTCACACTTACGCTATTGGGTTTCAGTTACGCGCTGAATAAAAAAAGAACTTGTAAAAACATCTTCAACACGCACGTGGGCAACGCTGCGTCCTGCACCGATCAGCCCACAACCCTCCAGGCTTAGAAGCAGCAACAGACCTCGAAAGCGTTCAGGAAGCCCTGAAATTACTCGTCATTAAGTAACCTGTTTTGTAATTAGTAGAATTTTTATCTTAATTATTACCATATTTGTTATAAAAATCATTTCGTATTTTTGTCATGTTAATCACATTATTAGATTCATATGTA